ATAATGTCATGATTGATCACGAGCAGCGGAAACTGCGGCTTATAGATTGGGGACTTGCGGAGTTTTACCATCCTGGTAAAGAGTACAACGTTCGTGTTGCTTCTAGGTTTGCTATCTTCTCTCCAATTTAGTTTTCTTCTATAGGCCATGCGATCTTTGTCATTTTTTCTTCGTACCCAACTTTTGTAGATAAAAAATTTAGGGAAGTGGGAGCTTCAGAGTATCTATAACCTTTCCAGTGTTTTACATGGGAGTAATTGTGTTTTATACAACATAAATAATATTGCAAGTATACGGTGTCAAGTTTTGTTATATATGAATGGAATTAGAGTTTCCAACCCACAAGAATTGTAATTTAATTTTATACTGAGTACTATAATTGTGTAGTCTCTATTTTATCTAGATGAGTGAGTTTTTGAATCAATGTTTTGTCTAAACTAGGGATTATTTTGACGAATTCAATGAATAAATGCAAGTTATACGAATTAATCAATATAGGAGAGCCTAGGATATGATTTCATCTAACTATCAAATATGATTTTTAAAAACCTAGTTATCTCTAATCAATTTTCCATATGGTTAATTTCACAAACGGTCACTGAACTTACGCAAAAATAATAAAACGGTCACTGAAATTCAAAACTTGCAAAAACGGTCACTAAAGTTTCATACACTTTCACAAACGGTCACTGGAAGACTGTTATGCCTTTAATTCAAACATAAAGGACCAAAGGGAGCTAACCCGAATTTTGGACAGTTTTGAGGTGCCAACTTTGGACTACCATAACTCCGTCCTCTGNCCAAAGTGAGATAACCCGGATTTTGGATAGTTTTGATGTGCCAACTTTGGACCACCATAATTCCGTCCTCCGGCCACCTTTTGCCACGAACCAATATATCAAATTGAAGCCCTCGATGCCCTCTTAACAACCCACCCAACCACTGGCCTCCAGTGACCGTTTGTGAAAGTGCATGAAACTTCAGTGATTGTTTCTACAAGTTTTGAACTTCAGTGACCGTTTTGTTATTTTTGCGTAAGTTCGGTGACCGTTTGTGAAATTAACCAATTTTCCATATTTATAAGCAAGAATCCTAATGTAAATCTACCTCCTCTTTCGAGTGACCTGTAAAAATTAATTCTAATATCTCTATTTCGAATTAAAATCAAAATTTATCAAGATCGTGGTTTTTAGATGGAACAAGCTTCATAAATTCTACCCTCTCTCTCGAAACCCACAAAATGTAGATTATGTTATTGTTGTGATCGAGCCGAAATCCCCCTATCTCGAGTGCAGGAATTGACTAGCATCTAATCATTCAATTAGTGGCCAATTAATTGAAAACATTAAATCAATAACACAAATAAACGGAAAGGAAAATTTCATAGAAATAACTAAAACAAAATTAAATCATATCCTCAAGTTTTGGCTAATCAAATCCTAGAAAAATTATCTAGTTCATGGCATGAGATATGAAATCTATACAATTTATGAAGAGAAGAAAGATAAACTATTTTTTGGATGGTTGAATTAAATCATCTTCGCCAAGTTGGCTTTGGCTCTTTGATTTCTTGAATCTTGACCCTTTCGAATTGTAGTTAAAAAATTGTTAGTCTCATGAAATGTGTAGTTAAACTTAATTGTTGATTTTGACTTGAGATTTTAATTTGATTTTAATCCAAACCAACCAGGGGCTAAGTCTCTTAAGATGAAATTCAGAGTGGACTTTGATACAAATAAGTTTTAGGATTTATTTTGAATTGTTGCAAAAGGACTCGGGCACAGAAATTAAGACCCGTCCAGGGGCTGCTCTTAGTTGATGGTTTTGGTTCTAAAACTGCATTCGATTGATTGAACGAATTTGACTGACAGTTTGTTCCATTGAATATGGCAAAAATGATTGCAATCTGTAGTTCAGTTCCAGAATATTATCTTCATTAGTAAATCTAATAATCGAAAGGATGAATGGCTCCAGAATGCATAAATTTTTAAGTTTTATGATGATTACTCTGAGAAGCCTATTTAATAATGCACCATGCACTATTTATTACTGTAACACAGGCACACAGATAAATTCTTATTCTTTAAAGATTCGGTTTAGCTTCTTTAGCTTTTTTTTCGCCTTCTGAAACTATATTTATAGATTAATTCTTGGCTAGGCTATTTAAATTTCAGTACTTAATTATTAAACTTGAGTAAAAATAACTAGCCAGTTCCTGCCAATGCATCTTGTCTGTCTGGCATTTTCTTTGTGTGGTTATTATTTTTATTATCTTTTTTAGTTTTTGGTGAACTAAATAAATTTATTTACGTGAAAAATGAAATACTATCGTACAATTAAATCTGATAACATTTTTCTTAAAAGGGGAATAACTATATGAAAAATAGTGAACAACGGTTACATTTTTCTTGAAGATTTGACCCAGTGATTATGATATGGACTTTTATATATGTAGCCATCTTCCTGTGACTGCCATGTAGCACGTGTTAATTTGGGCCACAAACACCTTATACTTGCCCTTCTGATTTTTAATGGCTATTGCTCACAGAGATCAGCTTCTGAGGTTTACTTCATGCATTCACCAATCTACTTATTTGGGCCACAAACACCTTAATGCATTCACCAATCTACTTATTTTAAATGTTCGTGCTCATTGATTTGCAGGTATTTTAAGGGCCCTGAACTTCTCGTTGATTTGCAAGACTATGATTACTCCTTGGACTTGTGGAGCCTCGGTTGTATGTTTGCTGGAATGGTATCCTCCTGCTTTTTCCCTGACTCGTATTCTGGAATACATTTTCATTTTTACAAGACTTTTTTAGTATGTTAAACAAATGGACCTGGGCATATCATTTGGTAGTCCTCCTGTCTCTGACGCTGCTCTTCAAGCTTCACCGTTTTGGATGAGTGGATTTTGATCCACTTGGACATCCATGGGTGGCAGGTGATGAGGGGACTGAAATTTTGGTACACACCAAGATATGCCTAGGTTTACTCCCAATTTGATGTTTATATTTAGGTTTTGGGCTGTGTGCAGATTTTTCGTAAGGAGCCTTTCTTTTATGGGCACGACAATTATGATCAACTGGTCAAGATTGCCAAGGTATGTTATCTGGCCAAACAAACGCGCCTCTCTTCGAAAAATGTTACTTGTGCAACATCATATGATCTCTTCCTAGTATATTCACCCTTCTCCACTCGTACATGGAGATGACACACATCTGGTACCGCTACGCCAAGATAGTGTTTCTAGTTTTGTTGATATCTGTGCTAAACCTGAGTTAGGTATTGTGATTTTATCATAAGTCTTTTCCGCTTGTCCATGTGACCGATGCCAGTGCTTAATTTCATGTGACCATTGATTTGGTCAGTCTCGCTTGAAAATTACAAGAGTAGAAGTCTTAATATTTGACTCAGTGAAGTTATGCTGCTTTTTTCCTGGATGATAGGTGTTGGGAACGGATGAGTTGAATGCCTATCTTAACAAGTACCGGTTAGAATTGGACCCACATCTTGCTGCTCTGGTTGGAAGGTTAATAATTATATAATTCAAATCTTAAGCGATGTCTCTATGATCTATTGTTGGTTATCATATATAAGTTACCTGCATGTCAATCCAGGCATAGCAGAAAACCATGGACAAAGTTTATAAATGCCGATAATCAGCATTTGGCTGTTCCGGAGGTGAGAATTATGGCTATTGGTAACTTGCAAAACAAATCATTTGATCAAGTATGCTGAAGATTTGAACTTTTAATGTGCATTTATCTTGTGAAGGCAATTGATTTTGTTGACAAACTGTTGCGATATGATCATCAAGAGAGGCCAACTGCAAAAGAAGCAATGGTAAAATCTCCATCTGGCCACTTCCTTAATAGTGTGAAACACTTCTTACACCTGAGACTTGGGAATAGTCTTGCCTTACTGCAAACTGTTTCAGACGCATCCTTCAAAATTAAGGCAGCTGAAAATGGAGAAAGCTGTGCGGCATAACAAACTACTGGAAAATTAAATTACTTTTGTTAATTAATTAAGTGCTTTGGGATGGTAAATAGGAAAAATGATGTCTAATTTCTCATGTTTATCCTGGATTTCAATTTATGAAGTTTAAAATAAAACAGTGTGTTTTACTAATGTTTTGATCCCAGCTTCAAATTGTCCTGTGGGTAATTGTTGTAATTTGTTGCAGGCTCATCCCTATTTCTACCCGATAAGGAATGCTGAAAGTAGCAGAACTCGTGCACATTAAGAACGAGCGCTGGATGCCTTTAGAGTCGTGGTTCTTGAAGCATCTGTCCAATGCTCGCATTGATGATTTATGCAATTAATTGAGCTCACCATTATTTATTGTCTAAAGTTTGGGCCATACATTTTAGCCTTTTCCAACTCCAANACATTTTAGCCTTTTCCAACTCCAACTCTCTTCAGCATTTGGTTTGTGTGTTATAAAAAAATAAGACACTGATTTGTTTCCCAGTCGATATTTTTTGTGCACTATGTTGTGCTTATTTGATTCCTGAATAACGTAATATCTGTTTTATTTATTTAAAACTATTCAGAAAATTAAGGTTCACGTCCTTGAAATGGTGATGTCCAGAAGTTTGTCATTCCTTCTATGGGAATCCACTTTTAATTACAGTAGATAGAGAAATTATAGAAGTTTTTCATCCTTTTAATATATAAGTATGGACAGAAGGTGTTTTCGAAGGCTACGTCTGATTTGTACTATTTATTTGCTTGCGCATCTGTATCCCTCGAGGGGTTTCTGCAACGCAAATAACTGCAATTTAAGATTAATGTTTAGTACATCAATTCAACTCTTTCAGTATATTTTATTTTTCGCTTATGTTTATAAGCTATTCATAAATATTTAAGTTATTTTTTATTGGGAAAAAAAATCATATATAACCAAGTAAATAAAAATAATTCATGAAATACTATGTATTAATTTATATCCTGTAACTGCTGAACATTTTTTTTGTAACTGAACTATAAATAATCAAAACTCACTAAATATTCTCCTAAAATTAAGCAAAATTAATGCCATCCCACATATACTCTATTTTAATTAAAACCAATTAAAAGTCAATTAATTATAATCATATTGACTGTTCCTTTTTTAAATTTGAATCCATTTAATTGCAACTTTTAAAATTCAAAAACCCATTTAATTCAAAACAATTTTAGCCGAGAAATATGGAATCAAATTTGTTGATAATCAAGTTCTAC